TTGGGCCTCAGTTTCCTCATCAATACTAGATGAGATACTAGTGGGGATTTGAGCTGGGTACCCAGCTGGTCAGGCCTTGCACCATGTCCCGCCCGCCCTCTGGTGACCACCCTGGTAACTGCAGCCTGCTGGGTCTCGCAGGGCTCCAGGGTGGCCGCATGACCCTGGTGTTCGGGTGCCGCCGCCCGGATGAGGACCACCTCTACTGGGAGGAGATGTTGGAGATGGCCCGGAAGGGGGTGCTGCATGAGGTGCACACGGCCTATTCTCGCCTGCCTGGCCAGCCCAAGGTAAATGCAGCAGCTGCCCGTGCAGTGGGTGGAGCATGAAAAGCACATCAGTGGTGGGTGTCTGGCTCTCCACAAGCCCCTCACTTCTCTGAGCTTTCGTCTTCTCAACTCTAAAATGGAGCGATGCTGTGAAACTATTACGTTCACTCTTCCAGGAGAAGAGACAGCCCCTAAGATGTTCAGGACTAAGTCAGGGTCACACTGGGTTAATCCCCGGTGCCCAGCCTGCTGAAGGTCCTCTCCTGGGGCAACGTCCTGGGGAGAGGCAGTCCAACCAGCTTTACGCTGAAGCACAGCGAGGCTGGAGGGCGGTGCTGCTCCCAGCATAGCCTGCTGACCGGCTCGTCTGCCCTAGGGGGCGTTTGCCCCCTGAGCCTGGGGAGTCCAAACAGATTCTTGGTTCAGCAGTTGTGAAAGTGTCCCGCTGGGCGCGTCTCAGACCCAGTACTCCACGCCCGGTGCCAGGGTCACTGGGCATCTTCTGTGAAACGAGAGCAAGACTTCCGTGTAACTGGGGGAACCTGCTCTAAATTTCAGGGGGATCCCATGGACAGTCTGTGCTGAGAGGTTCCCTTTTCTGGGGTGTAGGCAGGTCTGGGCTGGGCAGGGCACCAGTGCACCTCCTCTTCCCGAGCCTGATCCCTGGGCAAGGTCCTGGCCGGGAGGGTGTTCACCCCGCAGCCCCTCATGCCCTTTCACTACCTCCCTGTGGCCAGCAGGCCTGACTGAAGGCTTTGCCCCCAGAAGCAGAGGCTTGGACCCACCATATCCTCTGGTTTCAGGTTTACGTTCAAGACATCTTGCGGCAGCAGCTGGCCGGTGAGGTGCTCCGTGTGCTCCATGAGGAGCAAGGCCACCTCTATGTCTGTGGGGATGTGCGTATGGCCCGTGATGTGGCCTGCACCCTGAAGCAGCTGGTGGCTGCCGCGCTGACCCTGAATGAGGAGCAAGTGGAGGACTATTTCTTTCAGCTTAAGGTATGGCCGCTGGTGTGTGGGCTCAGGATGGAGGTCAAGGGCACAGGCCACGGAGCCAGGACTAAAGAAGTCAGGCTCAGAACAGTCCTGGACCCAAAGGAATCCTAGAGGTGGCCGGAGGTCATAGGTGGTTGGGCTGTTATAAGGCCTGGCTATACATCCTGGTCTGGTTGCTCAATTAAACAAAGGCAAACTTGTTGATGTACTAACAGACTCTCAGGGCCCCTAACATGCTACTGTGCATCGAGGCACGTCAAGACTGGGAGAAAATACACAGCATTCCCAACCGTATTTATCTCAGAGCCCACATTTCCTGGAGCACCCTGTGGGACAAGCATTGGGCAGGCTTCAGCATCCATCGCAAAGGCTGGGGAGATGTTTTGGTGGTCCACACCACAGTGGGTGCTGATGGGAGTTAAAGAGTCGAAGTGAGATTCAGGTATAACCTAAGCATGACAGTTGGGAAGGCAAATGGCTTATAAGTGTACTTGTGATGAAGAAGATGGAGGGACCCCAGGGGCTTGTCCCAGCCTGGACCTGATGAGGGAGAGGCGGCTGCACCAACAGAGCTAACACCTTGGTCTCTGTTTTCCCTTAAAGAGCCAGAAGCGCTACCATGAAGATATCTTTGGTGCTGTATTTCCCTACGAGCTAAAAAAGGATGGGTCAGCAGGGCCGCCCAGCGATCCCTGAGCTCCCATAGCCTGGAGGAGAAGTTAAAGCTGCCGCCACTGAATTTAATGATGGCGCCAACTCTCAACTATCTGAGGTCACAGGGCTGGGGAGATGGAGGGAAATTATATCCCCAAGCTTCACATTCATTTCTCCATCTCCTTCCCTCTCAAACCCTTTACTTGACCTGCTACCAAGTAGCAGCCTGGACAGAGTGGAACCTCTTGTCTTCTTTGAGCCCACCCTTCCTGGGTTGTGGAAAGATGGGGGCCTGGTCCCTTGGAGACTAAATCTGCTATCCCAGGCCTGGCCAGTGGGTGAGAAGGATGGAGCTTCCTTGATTGCACTACTTGGAGTGATCAACAGGAGACGGTGATACACCATTCTGTGTTTAGCTGCCTGGGTACAGTTATTTATGACTCTGTATTTAAAAAAAACAAACCAACCCCAGACAGCCTCTTGGGCCTTGCCTGTATGATTCCTTGATGGAGATATTTATATGAAATGCATCTTATTTTAACCACATTGTATGTGTGTGTGGGTGTTTTGTAAGGAAAGCAGCCTGAAGCTATATAGAGTTGGGGACTGGTGGGTTCCACCGCCTGGACAAAAAATTCCCCCCAAAGGGACATACCGTCTGAAATGCCCACCGGGTATGGGGACAGCACATGGAGTTCTGTGCACATCTGAAAACCCGTGGTGGGGGCGAGAAAGTGTGGGCTGGCCTGCAGGCACTAGCTGTACCTCACACAGGAAACATCTGATGCGGGGCGTGTTGGTGGGGGGCAGTGCAGCACATGATGGTGGTTCTTTAGCAAAGGTTTAGACCTAAGACAGCGCTGTCTTAGGAAGTCACCACCTTTTGCCCTGGGGCCGCCTGTTTTGTGAGAGTTTGGCCAATAATGATTTAGCCCCGGGGGACAAAGCAGGTGAGGTTCGGGCTGCTTGTCAGGGACTTGGCAGTGAGTGAAGGACACACATTTTCCTAAAGAAGAGCCCTTTAAAGGACTGAGCCCTGTTTCCTTCTCCCAGTGAGAACGAGGAAGAAACTCAGTCAGGGGCTAAGTGGGGGTCTGGCAAAATCTGGCTCCCAGCTTGGCATTGTCTTCTGTTTTGTTGGCTCCCTGGCCCACTTCTCCCCTCCCTCACTCCTACTCGGGTTGGGTGGTTGCGGAGAGAAAGGGGAATGCCAACCGCCAGCGTCCCAGCGATGCATCTACACAACGTGGTCAAGAACGCGGTCACCTGGACCAGGGCCTCTCCCACAAACCACCTGGGGTTTACTGTGCAGACTCTGATTCAGGAGGTCTGCAGCAGGGCCCGAGATTCTGCGTTTCTAACAAGCGCCCAGGTGCCGCCGGTGCTGCCGATGCTGCCGGTGCTGCCGGTGCTGCTGGTGTTGCTGGTGGATGCAACCAACGTTCCAGGTTCTGTCCCGTCCAAGAAAGAATTAGGAGACAAGATGTAGTGGTTAAGAAAAGTAAAGTGAGGATTTATGAAAGGATGGATAGTACACTTTCAAGGGGAACAGCAGGCAGGCCCAGGTGAGCAGCTGCTCTGAGTTTCTTCCGCGAGTTAGTTATATAGGGTGTAAAAATAATTGGGCGGAATATTCATTGAGGAGGAAAGGCCTTGGGGTCATATTTCCCAAAGGGAGGAGGGATTTTTGTCCTTATTTAGTCTAGATCAGAAGTGTCATGGTGTCGCTGCATGATAGGTACTTCTGATCTGCAAGGCTAATTTTATTGAAATGAGGGCATAATGAGCAAAAGTTTACATTCGGACATTGGAAATTCCTGCCTTTTCTGACCTTTCTTTGTTGGTCTCCAGGCCAAAAGGTGTGGCCCCTTATCAACCCAAAGATTCCTGCTTTTCTTTCTCTGCCAGGGACCCCTGGTGCTTATGTATGTTTCCTGCATTTGGCTTGTGCCCCTCCTTTCTGCTCAATTCCTGTCATTTGGTCTGTGTCCCCCTTTCTCTGCTTATATCTAGCTATCTGCCTGCTCTAACGGTTGCCAAGGTACTGGGTTCTTGGGGTTAGCAGGATGGGTTGGTGTTGGAGACACAGAGCTGGGCCCCCCTGCCCTGGCCCAGTGGCTGGTACCCCCCTACACTGAGCCCCTTTCCCACCACATCCTAACCCCTGACACCAGGGGCTCCGTACTGGAACCACACAAACAGGTCTCTCTTCCAAGTCAGCTTCTCGGGAGCCCACCTGCCTCCTCCCCAAGCTGGAACGCCGGGTTCTGATGAGCCCGCCCTGCCATCCTGCCATCCAGCCTCTGGCTCTGTGCCGCCCCTCTTGGGCTCTGGTCGAGCCCTTGGCCCATCTCAGAAGCAAGGGACCATTTCCTGGGTTCTCCTCTGTGACCAAGCTTCCTGCATCAGAGCTTCCTGTTCAAGAGGCTGCGTCTCACACCCTTCTGGGGTTTGTGGGGGACCCACTGGGAGCAGGATGTCAGGAACCCCCTGATCAAAGTGAGCCCACGCTCTATCCTCACACTCCCCTCAGCCAGGACCTCCCCAATTCCAGAGACTCCAAAATGTCTCCAAACTCATTTAATAAACAACCGCCACCCCTGCATATGTGCCGACAAGCATTTTTCTTTATTTGAAGGACACGGGGAAAGGGGAGAACCCTCTGCTGAGAAGACTCCTGTCAGTGGGGTGTCATCAGGGTAGCTTTTCCAGAGAGTATAAGAAGAGGTCAAAGGTTGGAGAAAGGGGAGGGGCCAAGGATACTCCCTGCCACGTGGAGTGACAGCTGGTGACTTGGAGCTGGGTGGACTTGAATGGGGGTTGGTGATGTGGTTGAGAGGCAGGTGAGGCACAGGCCTAGGCTGGGGGCTGGGGAAGGCCAGGCCCCTCCCTTTCTGCTGAGGGGACTGAACTTGGGGCCCACCTGCATGGACCACTCCTCCCCTTTAGGATCTGGGTGCTGCCCCCACTGAGGAAGGCAGTCCTAGCCAGCTGCCCTCTCTGCTCCAGGCTGACTGCCACCAGAGCAGAGCCAGATGGGGCCGTGGTCTCGCCAGCAAAGCCCCACGTCCTCAGCAGGCTGGGAGGGGCCGGGGCCGGGGCTGGGCAGGTTAGGGGTGATGAGGAGGTCTAGGCAGTAACACGACCCAGCCCTCATCCCCAGGCCCAGGGATCACCTATGTCTGCACGTGGGTCAGCTGGATGTCGCCGCCCACCTCCAGGCTGTTGATGGCGGGCAGGTTCTTCAGGCGGTGGTAGTATTCAAAAAGGTGCTGACCATCCACGGCCACCCTGAGGCCATGGCTTTCACACATGATCCACACCTAGACAGAGAGACCCCGCATTTACACCCCACCTGGACTGTCCTTAGAACTGAACGCAGGCTTGCACCTCCCTCCCTCCTTCCCGCCTTCCTCCAACGTTAGTTAAGCAAGACCCACACCTTATTGGAGCCACACCAAAGGATTCACTCTTCACCGAACATGCCGCGTGTCCTTCCCTCCCTGTACTTTTACAGATTCTGTTCCCCGGCCCAGAACACCCTTCCCCCTGTGCTCCCTGCTCTGCCCATCTTGTCCGTGTGTGTATCACTGCCCACCCCCCTTCCAGATTCACCCTCCTCCAGGCAGCCTTCCCTGCCTTTCCCCACCTCCTGACCCCCTCAGGCCGTGTCCCCCACCCCCATCTTCACTCTCCAACTGGACCCTGAGCCTCTAGGGGCAGAAAGACTGGCTTGTGTCATCCGTGTCCCTAGGATCCAGCTGATAGGAGTGCTCGGTGCCTGCACTCTGGCAGCGGCAGCCTCCTAACTCGTCCTTCCCACCCCAACATTTTCCAGGAGGCAGATCTGTTAAAATGTCATCATCCCCATCACATGGCTAACCCTAACAGCACACCCACTGGGCACTGTCCTAAGCGTGTCACAAACACAATTTCATTTCCTTCTTCCATCTCTGTGAGATCAATATTATTATTTGTCCCATTTTTAAGATAAGAAAATTGAGGCACAGAGCAGCTAAGTCACTTGCTCGGGGTCACACAGCTAGTTCCAACACTTTGTATTAAAATCCAAACTCCTTTTCATGGCCCACAAGGCCCTACATCAGTCATTTTCAACCCTTGGGTAAGGAGTATTAGGGCATATTTTAAAATATGGGTGCACAGACTCACTCCCTCATCAGCCTGAGGTGGGGCCAGGCATTGATTTTTCTTTTCTAGCTCTCGGGTGATTTGAATGTGTAGTCAGGGTTGAGAACCCCTGCTCTGTGCGACCCGGGGCCTCCAGCTGCGCCCACCTCTCCACTCTCCTGGAAGCCCCTGGCCTCCCGCTTCCTAGACAGGCCACGCCCACAACCCCCCTCATTTGTGAGAATAGCTACACCCTCTGCTGCCTGCGAGATCTGTGCACGGCGGGCTCCTACCACTGAGGTCCCAACTGCTCTGTGGCCTCCTCTGAGACCCACGCCAGCCCTGGGTCTCACTCATCCCTTATTCTGTTTTGCTGTCTGCGTAGTACTGCTTGTTATTCCACAGTGATCTGTCCATGCATTCATTTCCTTGTTCCTCCCCCACCTCGATTGTAAACACCATGGGGGCAGGACCGGGACTGTCTGCATCATGGCTGTCACTCCAGCACCCGGGGCTACCTTCTGCTCAGAGTAGGCCTGGACACAATAGCTGATAAATGTTTGTTGAATGAATGAGTGAGCAAGTGAATAATAAATGACACTTCATTCTTGGGTTCGATCTGGCACTGATTGGCTGTGTGACCTCAGTGAGTAACCTGCACTTGTGAGTCTGTTTCCCAATCTGTAAACAGCCGATAGTACCTGCCACCTACCTTGTGTGGGACAGTAGTAGTAAAATGATAATGACAGTCACTTAGTGAACACTGTCTCTTCTTCTGGGCCCAGCCCTCACCCCAGAGGCATCTGCTCCCATCTCGATCAAGGTGCCCCCAATGCCCTCCACCTGCTGCCCCACTTGCCCCTTGAGAGTCCCTCTGAGCACTGGGCTGTGGCATCTCACCGAGAAGTTCTGGCCCCGGAAGAAGGGCATCTGTCGGGTCAGGCTTCGCTCCTCAGACCCCCAAGAGCTGTTGATCTGTGTGTTGCGGACCACGGCATTCTCATCAAAGCGGGGGTTCAGGTGGAAAGCGATGTTGCTCCCGGAGCGCAGGTTGATGTAGAACCTGGGGGCGGGCCACTCCCATGGGCTCTCTGCCCGGAGCCAGGGGGCTGGCCAGAATGACCTCTCCTCCCCCGGAGCCCTGCTCACCTCTGAGCACAGGGCAGGATGATGCCCGACACGATGATGCTCTTGGAGGGGTACAGCCCCCCCGGGATGGAGGTGAAGAACGGCATCGGCTGTGGGGAGGAGAGGGGCAGCAGGGGGAGCTTTGTGCCAATTTCTGTGAATTTGGATTGTCGCCTGGGTTTGTTAACTGTGCCTAATATATTTTCAAGAAAGAACTCCATAATAATTTTACTTGGTTCAGTAAATGGCAAAGGGAGACTTCACAGAGTTCCTCCAATTAATGGCTTAAACTGTCATGAAAACAGCCTGGGCTGGACACAAAGGATGCTTGTGCTGAGAAGGGAAGTCTTACAATATATCCACGGTGACAGGAAGATTTTAAAGGTGAAAGCCCCTTTCGAAAGTCTTCTCAGTTACTTGGAAGTTTTCAGAACTGTGGTTTACTAAGGGACTGCTTTTAATTTTGTAAGCTGCCCTTCAGCCCCCCACCCTGCACAACACAAACCAGACTTCTGCCTCTCCCTAAGAAACCACTTACATAGGCTGGGTTGGGATACGCCATAGGTGGGATCATGGGATTCTGCTGGAAAGAGATCAGGAAGTTCAGTGTGGGAGTG